GTTTTAGCTCTGTTTTTTACTTTCCTAAGTGTCATACATTTATAGAAAAACCTGGAGTCCTCTTATTTAGTAGAACACTAAAAAGCACCAAAAACCAATCTTCTTTTATGCTGTAGCCTTTAGTAGGGCTTTCCAGAGAAAGCAGTTCAGCAATATCAGAAACAAGCTCATGAACTCCTTTCATGTTTGCTCTTCAGGATTTCCCCTGTCCCTCAAAACTCACCTCTGTAAAGGCAATGCGTGGCTGATGCTTTATTGCCCAAGGTAACAAGGCAGAGAACTGTGGCACTGTGGGTTCTAAATTTAGACCTGAGTAACCCTAGTGATCCAGCAACATGCCCCAGTTGTACATGGGGAGAAATTGTGTTGGATTTTTACAGAGTGAAGGAGGGTGATGGTGAGTACTGGCCTGGAGGGTAAAGATGGAGAATGAGAAGGAAGGGCGAAGTGTGAATCCTGCAGTTGGAATGCCAGACCTAGCAAAATATTTGGTCCCTCAATGAATTTCATTTTAGAAAAAAGGGATTTCATGTACTGCTGCTCTTTGAGGTGTGAACTGTGTAAGAAGGAGTGGGGGGGGTGTACCATTTTTATCCTCTTTTCAATAGTTGGCCTCATCTCTTCCTGTGGAAACTGCTTAGCCTTGGACATACTGAGGTCTAGCTGTGCTTTAGCTGGACCTGCCTATTCTCCCACAAAGTGCCTGCCCTTCCTCAGTCCTCCTGTTTTGCTCCTTCAGCTAAAGAAACGAACAAAGAAGGAGAAGGAGCTGGAGAAGCAGAAGAAAGAGAAGGAGCTTTGCAAAGTAGAGGCAGCTCTAATGGACCCAAGTCGGCAGCCCCAGTCAGCAGATGACTTTGACCGCCTGGTGCTGGGCAGTCCCAACAGCTCCATCCTCTGGCTGCAGTACATGGCTTTCCACCTCCAGGCTACAGAGATTGAGAAGGCCAGAGCTGTGGCAGAGAGAGCACTTAAAACAATCAGTTTCAGGTAAAGAGCTCTGCTTTTCTTTGCCCCGAAGAATAAATCATGATGGGGGAGTTGTGGTGGAAGAACACTGGTAGTATCAGTGTGAGTCTGTGTGTGTGGAGTGACTGAGTCTGTTTTAGTGAGCTCAGAAGGATTAAATGGTAGTGCAACTGTCAGCTGGCCCTTTGAAGGTCTGGCCTGAGTCACCACCACTGGCCCACAGCTGACCTGCTGCAGGTCATGAGCTCAGGAACTCCTGAAGGTGTCACTGAGTGCACAGACATTCTTCTGGGCAGTCAGAAGTGTTTGGAAGAACATAAGGCTGTCAGTGATGTCCTTAAATCAAAACATGAAACAAAACGATGAAGCTCTGTTGTTTTGCCATAGGGCTGTACCTTAAATCATCTCTACTGCATGGTTAAGTATATTGTGATTTCTTGACTCAACCTTCTGGTTTTTAAATTACAAACAACAATGATAAAAACTGTAGTGCGAATAAACTGCTGTGCTCTATTTCAAAAACGGTGTTTCAAGGAGCAGTATGTCCTGTTTCTTGTCCTGGAGGCCTGCTACAAGTCAGTGAGTCTGTGTAGGGTAGTTTGCAGAAACCTGGTGAAGACTGTCAAAAGGCTGAATATTCTTGTTCACATCTGCTTTAAGGGAAGAACAGGAGAAGCTGAATGTCTGGGTAGCTCTGCTGAACTTGGAGAACATGTATGGTACTGAGGAGACACTGATGAAGGTCTTTGAGAGAGCAGTTCAATACAATGAACCTCTGAAAGTCTTCCAGCATCTGTGTGACATCTATGCCAGTTCTGAGAAGTACAAGGTAAGACAGTGCAAGTAGATCCCTGGCATATATCCCATTCAGGCATGCCAGTAGACTGTAAATGCTGGCTGTGTAAGCTTCCAGCTGTCAGATGTTGGGCCTGATCTTAACTGGAATTAATGGCTATGATTGACAGTGGGCAAAGATGCATTGATGCTTGCTTTTATGTCATAAGTGTTCAGAGACACCCAGCCTAAGAATAAGAGTCTTAAACCTACAAGGCTTTGTTGTGAATGTGTGATCTAACCCAACTCTTTCCTTCCAGCAAGCAGAGGAATTGTACCACACAATGCTGAAGCGTTTTCGTCAGGAGAAATCCGTGTGGCTGAAATACGCCTCTTTCCTCCTGAAGCAAGGCCAGGCTGAGGCTACACACCGGCTTCTGGAGCGTGCTCTCAAGGCTCTGCCCACCAAAGAACGTAAGCTCTCTGCCCCAGCCTTATTGTGGACCTTAATGTATACAGGGGATGGGCTGCTCTCTGATATCTCTGCCTGTGACAGCATTTGTAATAAGTGAAAAGTGCAGCCAGCTGACTCTCAGGGGAGGGCGACTTTCCAGCTGGATGTCACTGCTAAATGCACCTCTGCCAAAGGCACCAGATTGAAATTGCTGTGATGAACAAAAGCAAAGCACCCAAATCAAAGGCAGTTTTGAGTTTTACAGGCCTCTAGAAAAGTTCGCTTGGTCTCTAAGCCCAGGTTTCTGGGGCTGCCCATGGGTGCTGCATGATATGTCATTTTATAAAAATAAACATCTCTCTCCCACAGGGAGCTGAAATTGGAAGTCAGCTGTGACCCTTCTGTCTCCCACTTTGATCCCACCTTAGTCCAGAGCCTCTTTACAAAAGAGCCTTTTGTCTCTGGGTAGTGATGGTGCTGTCCATGTGTCTGCCTCTGTTCTGTGTAATTCTCACTTGTGTTTGATCACGTGGAAGAGAGTTGCTAACATGTCACTACTTTTTCCAGATGTGGATGTCATCTCAAGGTTTGCACAGCTGGAGTTCCATTCTGGGGACACAGAACATGCCAAGGCCCTCTTTGAGAGCACCCTCAGCAGCTATCCCAAGCGGACGGACATTTGGTCCATCTACATGGACATCATGATCAAGCATGGCAGCCAGAAGGAAGTACGGTGAGTTGTGGCGGGCTGGGAAGGGGCAGAACACACCTGAAAAGAGCAGAGCAGTGTAAGGTTGTCTAGGGCTTCCCACAGCACAGCAAAAGGGATTTTTTTTTTTCCACAAAACTGGGGTGTGTGGAAGTGCTTAACCTTGCTGGGACTGAGGAGGCTCCAAAGAGTTCCACAGGGCAGAGGGAGCTGACTTGTAAGTTGTGGCCTGCATGACAGAAACTGAGGTTCACCTGACCCTTGGATTGCCTTGCATCGGAAGGGTGAGATCAATCTTGAATAATCAGTCTGTGTATCTTGTAGTGTAAAAATGGAAAAAAGCATCTTTTTTCCATTTCTTTTTCTGAGATGTGACAAAAGAAAGTAATTTTTCACATCCACTTAATGAATCCATGGTCCAGTGTGGTGTCTGGATCTTTGTTTAAGTTGACCAGCAGCCTTAGAATTCTGCAAGCAACTAGAAGGCCTCTGCTTAGAGATTTTGGCCAGTTGACAGGAATCTCTTTCTTCAAGCACCAGCACTTAGCAGCAACTTCCCCTGAATGTTTTCCTGGATTTCTGCTCTTTGTTAAAAGACAGGATACAGGCTTGTATTGAGTGCTGTCACAAACAGAGTGATTTGAATCACTTTGGTTTCTTTCAGAGACATCTTTGAGAGGGTCATACACCTGAGCTTGGCACCAAAGAAGATGAAATTCTTCTTCAAACGCTACCTGGATTATGAGAAGAAATTTGGTACAGCAGAAAGTGTCCTGGCTGTTAAAAGAGCAGCACTTGAGTATGTGGAGACCAAGAGTTCCCTTGCTGACACCTAAGGGTGGTACAAGTGAAAGCAGAGAGACTTGGCTTTCCATGCAGTGTGGGAAATGATAAATGTGGAGTTCTGCCTTGACTGTCCATGGACAGTGAGTTTCTGGAGAGTATTGCTCTGTGACCAAGCCAGCTTGGAAAGAACAAATGAAAAGATTTGATAAATGTTTGCAGCTTTGTTCAGAAGTTGCAAATAATCCTGGTCTGTTGATGACATGTTTTTAAATATAGACTGTTTTATAATCAAAAGAAACATGAGCAGTACCTGTTTTACTTTCCTGGGGAAATGCTACAGTTATGACATGCTGCTTTTAAGTATGTTAAAGTCTTACAAATTGATTTTTCTCACTGTTAAGATGGCAGAGAAGATTCTTGTCTTTTGGATTAATTAACACTTCAAAAGATTTACTCAGGTGCCTTTGTGCTCTAGAAATTGGCAGAGCAACACTGGATTGTGGCATAGTTGAAGCTGGAAGAAACCTCTTGATCTTCAAGCTTCTGCTCAAAGCAGGAGTCATCAAGACTAGGTTGCTCAGGTACACTCCCAGTTTGGTTTTGATTTCCCCAAGAATGGAGACTTCACAACCTCTCTGGGCAACCATCTGTTGTAACAAGTTGCTAGGGATTGATGACATTAAAAATAGTGATTTTCAGTAATCATTGTCTCTTAAGAGAAATCACTGAAGTCAAAGAAAAAAAGTGTTTTCTTCTGTGCTGAAAAAAACATCCCAATGTAACCTTCTTGGAAAAAGCCAGGTATTTTGGGTACTTAAAAAAGCTGCCACTGATGTCAGTGCCTTATGGGCCATATCATTACAATTCTGTATTCCTCTAACGTTCCACTGAGATGTGGATATGATTAGCCTCATGTTTTACAGAGGAAGAACTTGAGGCAAGGGGAAAACAGGGTATACAAACAGATGTGATTATCCTGTGTAGACCCTAGTGAGTAGAAGCCCAGCTTTGAAATACCAAGCTTGAAGAGTCTTACTCATTGTAGGTACTCTAAACTCAAAACCAGAGCTATGCAGGACCCAGCTCTTCTGCCTCTGTAAATGCCCACTGTCGGCAAGGCTGAATGATTCAGCATTTATTTAATTCCTAAGTCCTTTGGGATCCAGAAACAAGTCATTTCACTTCTTGCCCCCAGGGAGAGCAGGGTGCTGTACTCAGATTTTGCTTAATGATCTTGTTCTGGAGGAGGCTGACTGCAACATCCAGGAGCAACTGCTGCTATTTTTAAAGAACACAGCTTCAATGATGGTGGCTCTTTCTTTTGGTTTAATTAGTTGCATAATAGAACATGTAAATAAGTGCTGCAATAGAAACCAAGATCCCTCAGAGGTATTGTTTCTTCCTCACTACTGGGGCTATTATAGTGTCTGTAGTAGGCAGGAGAAGTGAAAGACCTGTGTGTAATTCTCTGTACTGGAGGATCCTGGTTTGAACCCATCTTGCTGCTGGGAGCTGTGACTGTGGGCTGTTCTGTGATGGGATTATTGTTGGTCTTTGGAGGAAAGGTAAGGGGGTGTGAGCTCACAGCTTGTGTGATCCAGCATGCCATGGCTCAGTTTTGCTCTTGGCATTTCAGTGATAAATCTAACCTGGCTGCTTGTGCTTGTGTGTAAAACCATCTGGGTTAATATTCCTCACCTCAGCATTGTCACTAGGGGACATGGTGTGACAGGAACAACAGGGATATATTCCTGAGGGTGCTGATGTGCTAGGAGAGGCAGAAGCCTAGGGCTCTCTCAGTGGAGACCACGCTCAGGGTGGCAGAGAGGAGAAAAACCAAATCTCTGCAATTGCAAACAAATTTCTGAGTGTAATGTCTTGCTCCACTCCTCACTAACAGCTGTCCATTCAAACATGCCTCTCCAAGAAGAGGGAGGGAAAACAAGTAGCCCATCCCAGCACATGGAAAGAGAGCATTTAATATAGGAGAGAAGGGATGTAAACAGAACAAAAGATGGTTTGTGCTCATGGTTTATTCTTAGGATAAAAATCCATTCTCAAGTATTATGTGTCTTGCCCCTTTCCTGCAAAGGAGGGAATAAGAGAAGGAACCAAAGTGGAGGTGGTTCAAAGGAATAATTAGGACTATCAAGGAGGAAGGCAAGGGAAATAAAGGAAGTAAGAGGAACTCTGCTTTGTTTCAGCAAGTTAATCTTGTTAACTGGTTGTGTGGGGGTGGCATGCACGTCTGCATGTTCGCACTCGAGGGCCAGCAACGAGAAATGCAAATTAACTCCCTTTCATCTCAAGTTAATGCAATTTCATTTCACTTCCATCTGATTATTTCTGTGGGTTAGCTGATGGTGAGGCTGAGAGCCAAGCCTTCCCACAAATGCAAAGCAAATCTGTGGAGAAGCTGAAGAGGGATCCTGGGATGCCTCGCCCATTAAGCGGTGTTCCAGCCTCTTTATGTGAGGGAATAGCCTGCAGCTCTTTCTTGCAAGACACCATACTTGTCAAAAGCTTTTTGAATAATTTTCTCTCCTTTGCTGCAATTGTGTATCCTGATATACAAGATTTGTGCTACTCACTGCAAGAATAACTAAAAAGCCATGTTACTAACTTGTAACATGTGGTAATGCTTTAAAACATTCTAGGATTATCTGGATAGGAGACGGTCTGAATCTTTAATAAAAAGAAAAAGTAAGTTCCCAGTCCTTGAGTTCAAAGAGAATGTTAAATTATGCCTTTTATAGACCCCCTGAAAAAAGCTCAGAAGGCAATGAAAAATAACTCTCATTTAATAATTTATTTCAAATCTCTTTGTGTGTAAGCCCCTCTGAGTTCTGTGGGTTTGAGCTGTTTTTTGAACAACTTAAGGCTTTTTGGTAAATGGCACAGTGTAAAAGGAAGTTGTGTCTATAACTAAACAGTTCAAGTAGGAAAACCAAACTCTGTCATACCAGCTCTTTAAACAGTGTTGGGTACACAGGATTGACCTGTGCGAGGAAAGGCACTGTGCAATGCCAGAGGAGCAGCCTTGAAACCATAGTCACACAGTGTCATGGTGAGGGTAGTAATTTTACACCTTTCTGGTTTTGCTTTCCCAGAGTATGGCCAAGTCCATAAAAGAGACATTGTGCTCCAGGGGCCAATTAAGGCAGTGGAAAGAGTTTTTAAAAATTCAGTGGGAGATGAGTAGGGAGAGGGCTGCTCCCCCATCTTGTTCCTGCTGTCCCCTTATTGCTCCAGGGCTGCAGTCCCAGTACAGCAGATGGGTGATGGGTGAATGCAATGTGCTCTTTGGGCTGGCAGCTTTCTCATCTTCTTCCCCTCTGTGAAAGATGCTCCATTAATACAACTGACTGACCACAGTTACATGGTATATACACTATGTATGTTTATACATATATTTATGTAAAGCTAATTCTGGTTGAGGTTGTCCTGCAGCTTGTAACCCAAACAAAGGACTCATCCGATGCTTGGATGAGAAATGCAATGAGATACAGACAGTGCTGTGGGTACTGATTCCTCTCAGTCTCCACCTTGCTACCTTGCCCCAAAGCTGTTCTGCTGATGGTGCCTCTTCTGGGTTTATAAACTCATGTTGGCGACCATTTGGGTTCATTAGAGATTGCCAGGCACTTTAGTAAGAACAAAGGGAGTTCGGTGTCTTACCCACATTTCAACTTGGTAATTAGAGTGCCTTTTAGAATACCAGGAATGTTGGTGATTCCTCCTGCTTTAGTCTCTCAGTTATTTGGTGTGTGGCTGTCCCTGCTGTGGGGGAGACAAGTGGGGCTGCAGGAGTCACAGTGAGAAACGTGCCCATCTCTTGCTCCCCAAGGCTTCTGCTGGTGCATCAGGCAGTGGGCTGCACTGGCAGCCTGGAGGTAAAGACTGCATCTGCTCTTTGTTCCCATGTGTCTCTGGGAACAGCATGGAGACTGTTGTCTCCGAGGGAGGGGTTCCCCAGCTCAGGGTATTGCTTATCAGTCTGCCTTGAGGCTGTTGATTCCTGTTTACCTGCTGATAGAAGGTATCCTGCTGGGAGGAATATTCCCACTGCATCTCTCAGCTGAGTATGGATACTGGAAGGCCTGCCAGGCAGTCTGGAGAAGCACTGCTGGTGGACATCTGTCTTAGGAAGCTAAAAACAACAGTTCGTGGCCTTCTGGGGTTGGCCCGTTCCCTTCCACCCCTTTGGCCCATTTGTGGAGGCGGCTGTAGAGGGGGAAGCCCTTGTTCTCTCGGTAGATGTAGACACCTGTGATGGCATTCCACTGGGGGCTCGGCTGGACGCCCTCCACCGGGAACTCCTGCACCAGCTCCTTCTCCTCCTTGTCCAGTGCCACAAAGCCAAAGAACTGTTTCACATTCTTGGCTGCCAGGATCCTGGAGTGGACCTCGGCCGTGCGTCGGAAGAGCTTGTCCTCGTTGGAGCGGTACTGGGCCCAGTAGGCCTCCTGCCGGTAGCTCAGCGGCGAGCAGCAGTGCTTCAGGCACTTGGTGAGGAAAACCAGGACCGCAACAATGCCGATGAGCAGCCAGCCGAAGAGCTGGGAGAGAAGAGAGAGCCTGCGTTAGGACATGGCAAGGTGGCCTTACCCACTCCCTGTGGCTTTCTCTCTGGTGTGCCTACCTGGGACTCGTATCTCAACCTCCGTGTCACCTCATCCCTGAACTTGGTGAGATTTGCTGGGATGTCTCTGCAAGGGAACTTGGCCAGCACCTCGGCCCCGTACTCAGCTGGAAACTTGTCCAGGGAGGATGGCTTGACAAACTCGCTGAGGGCACAGATGTAAGCTTCCCCCCGCAGCAGTGAGATGACCGACCAAGTGATGGGTGCCACGGACGCTCGGCCCATGATGGAGCCAAAGAGGAGGAAGGTGGCAGCAGCAGAAAAGTTCTTGGTGCCACGCTTGTGGCATTCGGCCACCAGGTTCCAAGTGTGGTTGTTCCAGATGACACCAATGAGGAAGAGGGCCAGGGCCGGGACACCGATGGCAGCCAGCCCATAGATGTAGTTGCGGGCAGGGGAGCAGGGGCAGTTGAAGGCAACGACTGAGAAGAGCTCCTCACTCCCCACCGTGCCCAGGGCCACCAAACCATTGAAAATCATCACGTCTTTGCTCTTGAAGAACAAGGAGAGGAAGCGGAAGTTCTCAGCGATGAGGGCGGCCATCTCGTCTGGGGGCTGAGAGATGTGTGCTGCACTGGGGGCTGTGCTGGCTCAGCCCCCAGCACTGAGGAACACTCCAGTGGGGGATGAAATGGCCTGGTGCTAGCTGAGGTGCAAGGAGCTGTTCCAGGAGCAAGACACCTTCCCTGATGTCACTTCCTCCCGCTGGTGTCCCAGCCTCTGGAGCTGGTTGCTGATACCAGGGACACTTCAAAAAGGGGCTGAAAAGGGACTTCGCCTAAGCAATATATGAAACCTCAGCTATTTTAGTTTCCTACTAAGCCCTCCAAAAGCTTCACTACAGCAAAGATGACAGGTGGGGCATCTGTTTCTGATCCTCTCAATTGCACATTTGTCCTCTTTCCTTGTGTTCGGTCTTAGTCACCTCTCACAGAGGCAATTATTGTCAGCATCACTGGCAAACTCTTGATAATCACCCAAACCTGCAATGGAAGAGGACACAATGTTACTGGGAAAACTAGACCAGAGCGCTGGCACTAGGATGTGTCCCCAGCCCTGCCACTGACTCACACTAGCCCAGCAACATGTGGCACATGGGTGCTGGGGTTGTGCTGCTTTGAAGGCACTCTGTGTGGCTTTTGCCTCCCTCTTTAGAGCTGATGAGTTAATACTTATTAATAGTCGCAGGTATGTGAGGAAGGCAGCGAGGGGTGCTGTGAGACATCCCAGCAGATTTGGGAATACAGAAATGTGGCATGGGAGGCCCAGGCAGGAGCAACCTTTGCTGAGAAGGGTGAAGGGATGCTTGGGGGCTGTTGCTACCAGCAAGAGAAGTTACTTTCTGGGAAATCTTATCCTGATGTCCCAGGATACAAACACCAAATGCTTATAAGAGCTGGGACATCAATTGTGTGTGAGCTTTTGCTAGGATTAGGTGGGCAGGATGATCTCCCATCCGGCAGCTGATTGACATAATCGTACTCCCTGTCCTGGCCTGCAGTCTCAGCTCAGTCTCTTAATTGCTGCCCTGAGACTGAGCCCCTCAACCTGCAGCATCAGTGCCAGAGATGCTCTTTGGTGCCCTTCGCCTGTGTTATACCCCACTGACAGGGCTGCAGGCACTTGGGGCCAAGCAGGGAAAAGCATGTTCCCCGATTTTTTTACTGGCAGGGAAATACCTGGGGAATGTATCCACACTCTTCTACAGTGACGTTCATTCCCCCATGCCATCTGCAAGCTGGATTCAAGTAATTTCTTAGCTGACTTTCGATCAGTGCTGCATCTGCACAGGGTTTCTCCTCAGGAAGCCTCAAGCACCGTGCAAGCTCTGGGAGCCCTCACCCCTGTGATGAAACCCGCTGGCCTCAGAGGAACTGCTGTCACCGGGGTTTGCTGGAGACAGGAAGAACCTGGGTGCCCAACCAACCATCTCTGGCAGCTTGCACAGTGCTGGAAGTGCCAGCACACATCTGGGGCTACCTGGGAGCGTGGTCCCCAGGGCTGCCTCAAAGTCTTTCCCGCGCCACCCCAACTGCAGGGACAAGACTTCAGGGACATTCGGGCAAAAGAGACAAAGATACTTTGATCCTTATGGTCTTTTGCACAAGACTTGCTTTTACACTGTTTTAACTCTCTTTAAACCTCTGTTCATCTGCTGCCTCAACAAATCCCAGTTTACTCCCTTTCTCCATGGGGCAGGGGTGGGGAACAGGGGCAGAAATTTTGCCTCTGTTTTTTGCTGTGTCTAATCCCTGGCAATCCCTCTAAAGTCACGCTGTGATATTGCCGAGTTCAAACGTAAACAGCCCTTAATGTCTTCCTGCAGCTTCCCAGTTTTCCATATGCAAAACTCCCTCTGCAAAGGAGACAGACGAGCCAAAAACTGCCACCACGTGATGGGGAGCCAGGCCTCCATCTCCATGCTTGGTGGAACTCCACGTTTGCAGCCAGATGCCAAGTCCACAAACTTGCTCTAGTTGAAGCATCTGTTGTTAGTTACCCACAAACAGCCCTGATAAACATGGCCCTGTAACCTTCCTGACAGAGCCTGGCAAATGGCAAAGCAAAACTCTGAGGCGCAAAGAGAAGTACTGGCCATTTAGAGGGTGCCCTTCCTCTGCTAGGTAGTTATGGTCTGGGAGAGAGGGTTGGGTAGAAGGGAAGGAGAGAAGTTGTTTGCAGCAGGTAAATTTTTAAGAGCCTCTGTTTCTTTCCCCAAAATATATATGAAAGCAAGAAAGAATTAAGTCACTTACTTGAAAAAGTTGTTGAAATCAGTTCTGGAACCTTTTCGGCCCTTCCTCTGTTTTTTTCGCTCAGGCTCTGGTTGTGGGGGGTTTCCAGCAGGACACAGGGCTGTGCAGGAGTTGGGATGCAGCCAAGGCTGGTCTGATGGGCGAAGTGGAAGCTTTTGAAAACAGCTTTAACAGTTTGTGAACGCTTCTTTATTCAGTTTGAAACATGCTCTCCGCTGTTGGCTTTTGCGAAGAGGGAGGAGGTTGTTCTGAGGCTCTGAGTTTGGGTGGGGCAAAAAGCAGGCGCTTGGCTTCTGCTCTGAGCACAGCTGAGGTTGTGCCTTTAAGAACAAAAAAAAAAAAAAAAAAAAAAAAAAAAAGAGGAAATGAAAAGCTAAAAGAATGAGTCACTGGAAAAAGCACATCGTGCTTTCTCAGACTCATGATGCAGATGTGCAATGGCTGGCTGGGATGGTCGGGAGTTTGCCTGGAGAAAGGCAGCGATGAGGCGCCTTGCAGGGGTGCAGAGGGGAAATGCAGGATCCCCCCAGCCTGGGGCTTGGGTGCAGCCCCCATCGTCCCCAGGGGACGCCGCCAGGCCGGTGGAGTGGAGCCGCACCGAGCAAGCGGGGACAGCGCGGGAGAAGCACATGGTGCCACGAGAAGGGACAGAGACTTCTGTTCTAGCACATGGGAGCCGGCTGAGCAGCGGGAAGGCACCCGCCTGGGTGGGTTTTGGGGCATCGCAAGCTCTGTGGGTGCCAGGTTCTGCTTCCCCCCAGGCGGGACCGAGCAGGCTGGGGGCTGAGCAGGGCTTGGCCGTGTGTGCAGGGCTGGGCACAGCCTGATTTTTGGCGAGTGCGGTGCATTCCTGCCTGGCTCTACTTTTCCACTCTCTGCTTTCTCTGCTTGAGTGATGCCTGCGAGGCAGCCGAGAGCGCCTCATTTTTCTTTTCTCCTCTCCTCAGCTCCAGCTCCTGCCCAGCCTGTTGAGGCCCCCATCCTCCTTCCCCACCCTCCTCGCCGTCTTATCCCTGGGGTTAAACTCAGCTCTCCCCAGAGCCTGTCTTCAGCACAGGCAAATCTTCAGCGACACCCACATTTCCCTCCGCCCTGAGCAAATTTGGGCTCATCCCAGCGCCGGCAGTTCAGCCGATGGGAATTTTGGACCATCTTCCTTCCTATCCCCAGCTCTCCGGGCGGGTTTTTGCAGCTCGCGGTTGTTTGGGTGCGGTGCGGCCCTCGGCGCTCCCACAGCCTCGGCGCTGCCCGGGGCTGGCTCCCCGCAGGCTTGGCGGGGCTGTGGGGCCGCTCCGCGCTCAGAGCGCTGCAGCACAGCGGGATCAGCACCGGCACCACAGCCTGCCTCAATCCAGGGGCCCTTTGGCTCCCTTGGGAGCCCTCTCCTCCCAAAGGTGATGAGCAACGTCCCCAGATTCCAGCACGGAGAGGAGAACCTGCCTGATCTATGAGGACTCTGCAACTGCTCAATTTGCTGCAAGGCGGTAAAGCTCTAATCTTAAAAATCTTAGTTAAAACGCCAAGGGCTTCTCATTGCAAAGGCCTCTGGTTACTTTGGCACCTTAATGGCTGTGCCATGGAGCCTGCCGTCTCTCTGTGCTGCTCGCCACCATGGGGGACTCTGAGCATGCCTTTCTCAGTGAGCCATGAACAGCACCAAACTGCAAATAATAGGAGTGGAAACCACCTTTATCTTTTAATCCCCTTTGCTTTGTAAATCAGGTTTTGTGCCTATTAATTTCTGGGCAGGTGCATTAATTAAAGTTTGGGTGTGAAGATTAATGACAAAGCTGTGTCATGCTCCTTTCTCCTGGGAGTTGGCCAGATTCAGCCTGCCCTTGACTATGGGCTTGCTAAAATGCTCTCAAAGCAGCCAGGAGAATTTCCTCATCACTTTGGTCCTTTGTTCTCTTCTCCCCAAAGCCTCTGTGGAGTTACACAGTGATAATTAAGGTTTATGCAAATGACAGTCACCTCAGTTACTCATAATAAGTTGTTTGAACAAGAACACCACAGCAGAAATTTCAAGTGGATAAACATCTCAGAAGGGACATGGCAGGGCTAAAGCTCATCCTTCAAAAGGGGTTTGCCTTCTGCCTATTTGTAATAAAACCAGGGCCACTGGGAAACACTCTTCTGGGCTGTGATTTCCATGGTCACCTCAAGGGCCTGTATCCTGTCATCCTCTGTTTCTCTGGAAATGGGCTGCCACCTTGTATTATGGAATGTTGGCAGTGACTTCCCAGCTTCTCCTCTGAGGGCCATGACTGGCTGCTGCTGGTGGCCATGCACTGGCAAAGCTCTTCAAGTCACACAGCCTCAGCACCTCAGGCTTGGCCTGGGAGCTCTTCCAGTCCTTTTCATTGCATCGAAATAAAGAAACACCAACAGCTTTTGTAAATGGCTTTTATAAATCCTGGTGTTTGAACACAAGAGCTTAAATGGTAAGCCTGAATTATTTATTTGGCTCCTTAAACAAACACCCAGGTGGGTTTTTAACAACAGTCTTTGTCTCGGGGAGAGATACAGGAAAAATTGTAAGAACAAATCATCCTGAGGAAGATTTGTGGCAAGGTGTTGGTCTGGCCCCCTCTCCACTCCCTGCTGCTGAATGCTAGCTGCTCTCCTTGTCCGGACACTTCCCTGAAGGAGCATCTCTTTGCAATCCTCATTTAATGGTATTTGTAACAGCAACCACGCTGTTTCTGTCACATGTAGTGTGATATATGTCTCTTCACTAGCTCATTGCTTTGGTCAAATTTATTTTAAGGCTTTTCTTGGCTTTGGGAGCTCTGTGTCTGTGGGGATGTTGTGTGTGGAGGGGTAATGTGATCTTTTAGGGTTTCACAACTTAGCAGGAGAAAGGGGCACTCTCAGCTTGTTTCCCCACCAGGGGATTTTTAATACTGCCTAAACCCACATGTACTGCTCAATGCTGAGCGCGTCATGAAAGAGAGGAAGTTTTGCACATCTGGTAGTGTCTGTCTTGGCAACTGCCACAACACAGATCTGGTGCTCAGTGGTGTGGGACACATGGCACATCTGGCTGCCACGTTGCACCCTTCAGTATCCCTGGGGCTTGTCCATCATGGCCTTGCAAAATTATCCTTCCTGGCACAAAACTCTTACCTGAATCACCGATGCTGTAGGACTGGATGTGAGAGCAGATGAGAGCAGATGGGATCACACAGACACCCCTGAGCCCATTGGGTGCCTGTTCCCCTGCAGGTACTGTGGCACCGGCCTTTGCCTGTGCCCTGGCTTCTGCCCTCTCTGCAGCTCATCTCACAAAAATGTGATCCTGCCTCTGCACAGCCCCATGGGCCCTCACACCCAGCTGTAATAGGCAGCTGTCTCTTTTTGGGGTGCAGAGGGGTGCGTGGGGGGCTGCCCTTCTCCTGCCCAGCCATTTCCAGTGGGGAGGGCAGGTGGGTGGAGGTGCAGTGGGGGCTTGCATCTGTGCCAGTTCTTCAGGGCCATGTTCATGGTGCCCTGGTCGGTGATGCCCAGGAGCTTCTCGTCAGCTTCCCCGGCATTGGCAGGGGCTTTCCTGGGCAGGTGGCAGCGAGCAGCCACCAGGTCTGTGCTCATCCCCTCAAAGAACTGCTGGATGCAGACCTTGGCAAAGCTCCTGGCGTGTTCTGCACACGTCTCATCGAACAGCTTGCGCTCGATGTCGATGTAGTGGGACCAGTATCTGCTCTTCAGGAAGGCAGCCTGGCTGAAGCAAGGCCGAAGTGATCTGACCAAGAAAGCCAGAGTGGTCATCAGCAGCACAAAGCACCAGCCCAGAGCCTGCAGGGATGGAGGGGAACCAGAGCTGTCACAGGCAGGCAGAACATATGCCCAGCAGAACCAGCCAGCAGAACCCCTCTGGTTTGCAAACAAGCCTGACTCCACTTTGGGCTGTTTGACATTTGTCTGTGTTTACACTGCAAACTGGGCAAGGAGGCCCTATGAACCATTTGCACTGGAATTTTGTTCAGTGCATCCACACAGGCAGCACCTCTCACTTCTTGCCTTGTAGAGCATCAGCAGGCACTGACCATAAATAACACCAGGGCTGAATCCTGTGCCCAGCCCTTGGTCCTGCCTCCGATACGGCAGTGCCTCACCTAGGTCTAGGATAGCCTCTGTCCTCTGACTTGCAGTATTGTCCCAGATATTCCCCGGTTTATGCAGATGTCTTAACTCTTTTTCCAAACAACTTAGTAACATCTACTGTGAGTGAGCAGCAGTGAAAGCTCCCCTGTTAATGGGGTCTGACAGGAAGGGTGAGATGAGGACAGAGCCAGGACCAGTCTGTCTGGTTCCCCATCAGTCTTAGCTCAGGCTGCCTCCAGGCTGTACTGGCAGAGCTCGTGATGTTCAACCCTCCTGGAAATGCAGCCCTCTAAAAAAGCACCTGTTGGGGGAGGTTCTGTGTGGGACCTCTAGTTTTTCAGCTCCCAATGCTTTCCTATTGGAGTCTGCCTAGGAAAATCTTCTTTGCATCTTTGGAGAAGTCCCTGTGGCTCAATTTCTCTTAAAGGGGACAATCATTCCTGTCTGCCCTAAGGAGGTCAGGCAGAAGGTCTGCTTATAAATGGGAGTGCATGAATGACAGGTGTTCCAGGTCATCCTGTCTCCAACATGGCCAGGAGCAGAGGGCTTAAGAGGAATTAAGCACAGGACAAGTGGTTAGTGGTACATCTTCATTTGTGGTTCCCTGGGATTGCTAATAAACACACACTGGCTGTTCCCATGCAGCGGCAGAGGCAAGTGGCATAGATGGCTATTGACCCATTGTTTGCATGTGTTGTAATAAGAAGTAAGAGCAACTGATGGGTTATTGGAGAGGGTGACAACCTACCAGCCACTAAGATCCACCTCAGCCCCTTCTGAACTTGCTCTGAAGAAATACATGCAGATGGTTTGACTGACACTGCTCTGCAGCCCCAGGCTGCCCAGGCAGGAGAGGGGTCCAATTATCAGGATGACCTACAGCTACAGCCTGTGCACCACACTGGAGGCATAACCCCACAGAGCTGAGTCTGAACACCTTGTACCCCTGTGAAGTTACCAGTCTCTCCTGCTGCAGCTTGATTTCAACAAGGAGATTGTGTTGAGGGAAGAGCTCATGCTGGCAGTGCCTAACCCCAAGCCACCAGTGCGGGCACAGCCACAGTGCCTCTTACCTGTGAGATGCAGCGCAGGTACCTGATGGCCACTTCATTGGCAATGAGCTGCTGCCCATTGTAGATCTCCTTGCAGGGGATTCGGGCGAGGACCCGCTGTATCTCCCCCTGGGAGAGGTGGGGGTGGCTGGCATTGCCCAGGGTCTCCACGGGCACCGAGGTGCAGAAGGCACAGGTGATGCACTTGCCATCCAGCAGTGTCACCGACACCCAGACCGCGGGGGCGATCATGGCTCGCTGCGCCATGGAGCAGAACATGTAGCGCAGCACAGCCGGGTCCTTCCCCCGCTGCCCCTGCGGCCGCCTCCACTCCTCTGCCAGCATGGAGATGTTGTTGTTCAGCACAAAACCCAGCAGGAACAAGATGAAGGGGGGCACCAGGAGGATGCCCAGCCCATAGGCCAGGTTGTAGTGTGGCAGGCAGGGGCAGTTGAAATCAAAAGCTGAGTACATCTGGGTGCTGGCAAGGGCCATGATCCCACAGATGCCATTCATGAAGGACTCCTGGTTGGACTGGAAGAACTGGAAAATCATCCGAAACTTGTCCATCTTTGCTCGATTCCTTCCCCCACCAGGGTCCAAGCTGTGGCCTCAGTCTATTTAGCTTTCAGATTTCCTCTTCAAAGATGGCATCACTAAGTTTCTGTGCAGTCCACTGTTTCATTCATTCATTCATGCACTCTTACAATCCCACTATTTAAAGCAGAAAAATAACATTTTTTCTGCTGATTTTGCTGCCTACGGAAGTTTAGAGTTTGGTTCCTCCTGCTCTCTGGATCTGTGACCTGGGTTGTTTCTGGTTTGCAAAACCTGATTTCATGCTTCTCCACATCCCCATTTCTGCAGTCTCCCAGCCACCAGCTCTCTTTGCTGGAGGGTGCAGGTGTTACCATGGCTGTGTCCTCCCCAGATCACTTTGTGCCCTGGGCAGAGTTGGCTGATTGGCCTCTGTGAACCTGTTTGCAAATGCAGGGGGTGGGTGTTCCTCCCAGGACTGAACAGGACACCCTGCCTCTGCAGTGCTGGCACACATGGAAAAACTGGATTCCAGAACTCGCCCCTTCCCTCTGTGTGTTTGTCTTGCCTCAGCAGCATCTGAGGCAAGGACCTTGCAGGTCTGCCAGCCCCTACTTCTGGACCTGCTTCACTGGGAAGTACCTCTTTTTTATTCTGCAGAGGGAAGGGAAAAGGAAAGGCAGAGGAAGGAGAGGTAACAGTTAGGCTGGACTTGGCTTCCAGAGCTCAAATCTAAAAGAAGTGGATGGTGTTGATGGTGTTCTCCTGCATCTCAATTCCCAGTTCACAAAGCGGCCTTGGTGCACTCGGTTGCTCCCTCAAGCTGGCCAAAAAATGGGTGATTACTGGGACTACAAGTGGCTGTAAAACAGATGGTGACAATTGCTCAGTCGTTCCTGTCCAGGCACCACCCGAGCTGTTGATGTGAGGATCAAGATACATCTGACTGGGCACCAGTGTGACTGCAGTGGTGGCTGTGGGACACGTCACCAAGGGAAGCTGTACATAGGTGGGTGGCACATGGAAGACACAGGAGAGATACCTTCCCCCAAGGTTTTGCAGTGTGTCAGTGCCAAGCCGGGAAGCCAGACCAGGCGTTTTGACCATTAGTCAGTGCTGCAGGTTTTGAGTCTGCCCTGCAGCAGTCCTGGGGTTCAGCTGATTATGCTGAGCTCACCCTGAGCTGCCACCACAGAGGTGAGCATGTGGGTAATACCTGAGCAGTCTTAGCTCTGCCTGCTGTGGAGAGGTTAATTGCATGATCTCATCAAATGGGAAGAGATTTTGCTGCATGAATACAGATGAGGCCTATTGTATTGCTAGCTAAGAGCTCAGACTGGCTTCTGTATTCACCTGACAGGTGGCTTTTTGAAGGCCAGTTCACATCAAAGCCTGCGTGAATCAACCCTGTAAAAAGCTGAGAGCTTTTTGATCTCCAGGAAAACCCTGCCTTTTATTAACATGAATGAAGGGCCTGAGTCTGCTTAGTGTACAGAACTACAGTTCTCACTGAAGCCAGCAACAGGTCAGTTGGAATCAAAAAAGAGCCCATAGAAGACAACGTCTGGGTCTTTCTTTCCATGTTGTCTTGTTAGGAAGGGCTTTGTTTTCGTGAGCTTCCCAACAGAAAGTTCACTCTAACTGACTTACAATGGAAGGCACAGCTGATGATTCCTCCCAAATCCCAACTTATTTGTGTTGTGGAAACCCTGTCCTGAAAGAGATGGTATGTGCCCAAGTCCCTCCCTGGACCCAGTCCTGCCCCTGCACACCAAGACAGATAGAAAGGTGGGATGTAAAGCAGTAACAAGTCCCATCAGGAGAATTTAGGAAGTGACTGGGGAAGCTGTCTTTGCAGTCAGCTCTGCTGTTTCACAGGCTCTTGGAAGATGAGGATCCCTAAGGATGCCAGACATATCTGCAGGTCAGGCATCACAACAGCCCTGAGAGACAGACAGCTGCTAAAGTTTGTCAATGACCGTCTCTGGCCCAATTTCCACAGGAGGGTACACACTCTTAATAGAGCTGGTGGGAAGAGACCTCCGGAGATTTTTTGGATAGATGGAGGTGCCATAGACTTTCTGGGCAAGCCTTTCTATCACCTTCAAAATCAATATTTTCTGCTGTTTAAATGGAATTTTCCTGTATTTTGGGTTTATTGCCTCTTGTCCTGTCATGGGGTGCCAGATACCACTTTCCACAATGAAAAAGAGTTCTTGGTCTTTAGAAGGAAACACAGCAGGAGACTCAGGGGGTCTGTGAGGAATGAACACCTATGGCCTCAGCCAACTGGAGCTACTCCATGACCAGACCAGACTCTCCCAGCAGCACGTTAACCTTTGTAGATCTTCAAAATCCATGGCAGCACTCGTAAACCCTCCTGTTTCTCCCTCCTGATACAGATAACAAATCTGTTCCTCTTCTCCTGTTTAGCCTTTCATATTTTGTGGCCACACTAGGATGACTTAAAACTTGAGAACAGCATGCAAATGGAGCTGGAAAGCAGCATGCAAATGGAGCTACAGACCTCAGCTCTGAGCATATTAGGAAAATACCCAATTTGACTTGTATGGAATGGTGAGTCCAAACTGAGCTGCCATGTGATGTCGTGTCTGATGAAAGTAAACCAGAGACAAAATTCAAAGTGCAATGCTGATTTCAAAGAAGAGCTCAGAAGCTCGCTGGATCTAAAGAGCTCCTGGAGAAAAGACCACTGTGTTTTCCCCTACCAGCATGGGCCACAGCTGCCTCTGTGTGTTCTCCTAGCATATCCAAGGGAGCTCAGGGATTCATCCAGATCTGACTTTGCTATGCAAATAAGAAAAGCTCTGCAGCCTGTCCCTCTGTGCCCTGCAGCTCCTGACAGGGCCTCAGTGGGCAAAGGGGTGCAGCTGCCCATGGGTGGGCTATGGAGTTATTTTGCCTCCCAATGTTTTACCCAGTACATCCTCATTCTCTGGCCTGTGCATACAAACATCCTGGGCAGGAGATGACCCACATGCCAGCATCTTGACTAGTCAATTTGGGGGATTAATATGCACTTTTATTTTGATGTCTCATTTTGGATTTAGTCCCAATGTGGTAGCAGGTTCCTCTGCTCCTATCCCACCCTCTTCTTTCCTCCTGGAAGCCCTGCTTGCCCCACCTATCCATGCACACCCAAGGAGATATTTCTTTTTCACTTCCACCTTCCCCCAGCCCCTCCACATTGCAACTCTCCCTACAAGAGACAAAGTAGGCATCAGTGTGAGGTTCAGCCTGGAGGAATAGATGTGTCTGTTCTGGGTTAGTTTTCAGTAAAGACTTTAATGCATCCAAGCAGCAACACTGGACAGAAGTACCAGTCAAACTGGCACCATGTCCAATGAGGGTTGGAAAAGGCAGGTGAGAAAACAATTACCATTAAAGGCTCAGACATAAGGTTACATTCAAACAGTTTTGAAACTATGGATGGAAATGCCCAAATAGGTGTTACAAGGATGATCTTCTGGATAGGTCAGTTTGTACTCAAACCTGGCAGGGGAGTGTTTAAAGTCTGTGTTCAGATTTCTCAGGCAGAATCAGTGTGTCTTTCCATGGCTCAGCACCAGTGCTGCTACCTAAACCCCAGCATAGCCTTGTGGCTGTGTTTTGCAAAGCTTCTATCTCCTGTTCCTTCTGCAAATCCAACCCAATCCAGTCCTTATTCAGAGGTGTCTTCAATTAAAGTTATGCTGCTCCGTGAATTTTAGTGTGTTGCCATATTTCATTTTTTAAAATGCATGGAAGATTTGATGGATTGTTAGAGGAAGGCAGAACAGTTTGGCAGCTGGGCTGGGGGCAGCCAGAGTTCTCAGCAGATGGGAAGACTTAGGAGGTGGTTTTGCCTTTTTGAGTAAATATGTTGGTATGGTACTAAGAGAGTTGCCAGCTAAATAATTTCTGTGTCAGTTCTGATAACCCTTTGAAGCAGGTTTCACTGGAATGGGCAGGAGCTCCTCACACCTCTGTGTGTATATGGTTTGTGTGGTTAATCCTTCCTCAAGCCAGAACACTTTTATCACAGCTGTAACAAGGTGCAAACTCTTTGATATGACAAAAGTGCCCCACAGGACCCTTGGCTGAGAAATGTCATTAACAGTGACTGCATCTGGGACCCTTGGACCCTCAGAACTAGCTGATTTTGGAGGTTTTGTTAGGCATGCCCTGGAGTGGAGCTTTGACTTTGCAGATTTGGAGGAAGGTATGAGCACCACTGTCATCTACCAACTGGTCCTTGCTTTGTGCCGAGGTTTGGCAAAGCTCCTTCTGTGTCTGCAGGACAAAGCCCCCTTTACACATTGGTGTGCTGGGGGAATTTGGAGTGGGTGCTGGTGTTGTCTGCCCAGGGCAGAGGGGATCTCTCTCGCACCAGGGGATGCCTCTGGTGTGCCTGGCTGACATCCAGGGGAGGTTTCTCATAGTACCACGTTTTCAGGAGTTTGTTCACCTGGTCCTGATCTGTGATACCCTGGAGAAGATCTTCCCCTTCTTCGTCCCCCTCTCCCTCCCTAGGCAAGCTGAAGCTGTGCAGTTTGAGCTCTTGCCGCATGCTTTCGAAGAAGTGGAGGATGCATTTGTGAGCAAAGAGCCGGCTGTGCTCACAGCAGGTTTCCTCAAAAATCTTTTGCTCGATGTCAATGTAGTTGCTCCAGTGACGTGCCTGCAGGAGGGTGGCCTGGTTGAAGCAAGGTCTGAGCCAGCGGGCAAGGAAAGCTGCTATGATCAGGATCAACAAAATGCTCCAGCCAAGTGCCTGTGTGATAAGAAAACCAGTGGGAACAGGAGCAAGACAGACACAAGGACAGGCACAAGCTCTTTGCCTGTATCAGTGAGACAGGGAGTTTGTGTGGCTGGAGGGGAAATGTGATGCATCTGGACTCCTGTCTTCCATCTGTCCCTGTAGTCCAGCACTCCACACTACGCCCAGAGGCTTGGTATAATTTCTTCCCAGAGAATATGGGATATTTATCTGTGCATGAATCATTCAGTAAAGATAACTGATTGCAAAGTTGCCTGGAGCAGACAGGCATTTGCTATGAGCATAGGAGTACCCCAGGGAAAGGGGACTTTAGTGCTCTCCTTTGGAATTTCCTTTATCTCCAGTGATCTTCCTCTGTCACCTACACTAACTTCAGGACCCAGGAGTCCCCACAGCAGCGTGAAGACAGCCCAGACTATGAACAGCTTCCTTTGATAAGAAGGAAGGGCTTGTTTTTAATGACCTTCCACCAGTCCCAATGCCTCACCTGGCACTTCTACACCAAGAGCTGAGGCCAGTCAGGGCTCCTCTCTCTGTTGTAACCTGTTCTATTGCTCCTGAGCAAGCTGTTTTTGACTATCTAAGCTTGCACTGTCCTTAAAACAGTGGGTCCTGTCTGCAGGGTTAGCAGTTAGAAAGATCTTTTGACTGAACAGGGCTTTAGGAGACACAACATTTTTTATTATCTGTGTTTAGAAGCTGCTGGTTCTTTTATTCAACCATTCATAATTTCTTTCCTTTTCCCTACCTGACTCAAGATTATCACTTAGGATAGCAATGTTTGGAGGCAAAAAGAAGCACAGAGCAGCCTTGCTCCCAGCCTGACCACAATGAAGTGATGGCAAATCAAGGAAGAGCAGGAGCAGATGGCACATGCCTGGTCACCTCAGCGCCATGAGAGGCTCTGGCAGCAGGGACCCACCTGGGACCAGCAGCGCAGGTACCTGGTCACTGCCTTGCGGGACGTGGTGTTCCTCATGAGCTCCTCATCCTTGCAGGGCACCTTGGCCAGCAGCTGCTGTGCCTGCACTGTGCTCACATTGGCAAAGCCCACAAACTTCTGGGGATCCATGGAGCCGCTGAAAGCACAGATCAGGCATTTGCCATCCAGGAGGGTGACTATGATCCAGACGACGGGGGCAACCATGGCTCGCTGCATGATGGAGGAACACATGTACCTGGAGCAGCAGAGAGAGAGGTGAATGGGTTAATGCTGGCAGCTTCCTCCTCATCCAGAGCCCTGAGGGATGCAGGCTGTCCTGTGCCAACCAGTCTTTCCACTCCCAGGGCTGCCCTCAGCATTGCTCCAGCTGATGCTTCTCCTGCTCTGGGATGTCTTTGTTGGTTCTGCCTCTCAGTGAAACCTGCACTAGCACAAGGCAGTGCTCTGTGTGCTGCCTGCACTCAGTGCACAGTCCCCTCACTGTGTGCTTGCCTTGACTGCACCCTTATGTCTCCCATGCACAGATCTTTGTTAGCTCTTCCTTGTCTTGCATATTCACTTATTTTCTCATCAGTTTCAATCTGGAAAATCTCCTTTTTTCTGCAGCCTTTCTTGCCCCTCTCTGAGCCAACCTGTGTACTGCACAAAATTTTACTTATAACAGATGGAATATTATTCTCCTCATCCTTCTACCAGTACAAATTAGTAAAAACTCAGGTGAAGGGAGTGAGATCATGAGGCTTTTGATAAAGAATGACCGTGATGAAAATGCCACACCTGCATATTTAAAAGGAAATGCCTGATGTTTTTGCACATGGAAGCCCCAGAAGACACCCTGTGAGTGCATGACAGGGCAGCAGCAATGCAGTTTCCCAGGGTGGTGGCATAAACCCATGTATGGAGGCACTCCTGCTCTCCTTAGCTGGGATGGAACGAGCCTGCCTTAATTTCTGCTGGATGCAAATGCATTTCCCATACCCCTGTTCCTCCAGGGTCATGGGGAGAGGTCTCAGGAGATGAGCTTACGAGAAAATTAATCTACTAGGAGGATCCAAGCTCTGGAGAAAGACAGCTAAACAGGAGGTGAGAAGAGGGATGCCACTGCCACTGCAAACCCCACCTGATGACAGCTAGGTCCTTCTTCCTGTGTCCTGGTGGTCGCCTCCACTCCTCCAGCATCACCAGGGACTGTCTGTTGAGGATGAGGCCACACAGGAAGAGGATGATGGGGGGTACAAACATGATCCCCAAGCCATATGCCATGTTGTACTGGGGCAGGCAGGGACAGCTGAAGTCAAAGCTGGTGTACATCTTTACACTTGCCAGGGCCAAGAGCCCACAGATCCCGTTCATGACAGACTCCGAGTTGGACTGGAAGTACTGGAAGATCATCCGGAAACGGTCCATCGTGCTCTTTTGGCCAGGGCTGCTCCTCCTGGGAATCTCTGGGCTGCCCAGAGGGGCCTGTCTCCCTCTGCTTCTCCTTCTGCTGCACAGGGCAGGGGATGCAGCTCAGCTCCCAGTCAGCAGGAGGATGAGGATGGAAAAGCTGCTGTGACGGGGGGAACACCCTGTGCTGGGGCTTCCCCACTGGCACACGGCTCCCACAGGTCTGTCTCTCACCCAATGCTTGTCTTCCAAGGCAGTTGGTAGCTTTTCTAGGTGAGCTGATGAATACAGCCTCCAGCAGCCTTTTTTATCACCTCGTTTTTAATTTTCAGGGCTGTCCCACATGTCAAGCAGTCACAGCCTCCAGCAGTGCCTGGTCCCTCCCTCCAGGAGATGGTAGCTGTCTATGGAGATCCATTGGTGGATGCCTGCGGGCTGCTCTCTGCTGATTGAAGCCTGTGGAGGGATTCACTGCCCAGGAGAAACCAGGTAAACCAAATGAGCTCATCTGTGTTCCTGCCACTGCCCCAGTCCTCTTTGCATGTCCCCAGCCCTGTGTGAGGCAGGGGGGAAGGCAGGGAGCACACACCTGGCTGGAGTGTGCTGCAAGCTCAGATTTCCCTATGAAAATGGGATGAAAGGACCAACCCTTCAGTCAAGAGGGTGTATATATATATATATATATATATATATATACTGGGATATTTGGACATCCATGTCCAAAACCCTTGCACTGGGGCACTTCTGTCTCCCCATCAGAGCAGCTGGGTTTTTTTAGTCCCATGGGACTGGGTTATCATCTTCATCATGTTTTTGTCTCAAAAGTTCATTTTACAGATAAAGACAAGTCATTGCCACACAAGGAAGTTCTGAGGTGTTTTCCTGACATATTGAACATAATTTTCCTCTCTCCAGCTTTCCTCTCAAAACACTTTCAGATTTCTTCTCAGCTCAGGTTTCCAAATGCATTCAGGGAAGGGGGAGGGGGAAAGGGTGTTACTTTTAACTATTTTCGTTAAAAAAGAGAGGAATTATCTCCACTATCTGCCATCACTGGGGTTTCTGCCCATGCTGTCTCCCTCTGCAGGACTGGTTGCCTTGATGGGATCATGTTGAAAGGATCAGCAGGGAGGAGGTACCTGTAGCTCATCACTGGCATGTACAGATGAATTACAGATGAATGTCACCTCCTCCAGTCTGAACAGCAACTCACACAGTTACTTTAATGAAATACATTTGCTCCAACCATAATATTTGTGCTCTCCTTTACCTGTGAGTGAATTGCCTGCTAATGTTTATCCATCAGCAATAAAAACCCCTGGCTAGCCAGCTCATGTTTCCATTTTGCCATTATAGGACATCAGGACCCCTCTACATTGCTGTTATAGGGCATCATGACCCCTGGCTGAACTCCATAGTTGATTTTTAGCCAAGGGGCAGCCGTTCTCAACTGCTTCAATACTCACTGGGTTTCTCATTTAATGGCTTACATTTATGTGCTGACTTGGCTTCAGAAAGTGTTGTGCACTCTCTGTAGAAAAATTACTTTAGAAAAATCATTTTGCCTTTCTAGCTCCCCTGGGCAAAAACATAGTAAAGGCTAAACAATTCCTTACAGCCCAGGAAAATAAGACATAAAAAGAGTAGGAAACATCCTCTGGACAGGACAAGCTACAAGGGAATTTTACTTCTCCAAGGTGCTGTGTCCTGACCTGGATGTTACAGGTCTGTAAAAGATGCCGCAGGGTAATCGCTGTGCTCTGTTGTGATTGGGATGTCACCAGAGATTCAGAGCTGAGACATGGAGTTGTTGAACTGTAGAAGAAAGGGAATATTCCTGAACTTGCAGAGAAAGACATTCAGAGCTTCCTGGTAAAAGAGAGAAAGGCCTGTTGAGGTAAGAAAATTGCTAGAGATGGACAAGGGTTCAAAATGTGTCTCAGAATTTATCACATTTGATTAGTCAGTTCTTAGGGCAAAATGAAGAGGAAACAAGGATTAAAACAATCTATCTCATGTCCTCCAGCAAGAAAATGAAGAGGAAACAAGGATTAAAATAATCTATCTCCTGTCCTCCAGCAAGTGGACCTGCCCCATGTCCCCAGCAGTGTAGTCACCCTGCTGAGCCTGCTTTGAGGCTGCCTGCAGCTCAAAGGGCACCATCCTCAGAGGAAGGCAGCTGCTCCTTGATGGCAAATCTCCAAAACCATTCTGGAAGCTGTTGTTTCTCAGTGCATCTTTTGGAGGGCCATGCTAAACCACCCTTTGCTTCTGCCTCAGCATTGCAGAACACAGTGCAAAGGAGGGAGCCTTCCCTTCATGGGAATAAAACACCAGCTGTAGGCTTTTTGCCTCAGGAGAGGTGGTGGGTACAGGGATGAGAAGTCCCTCTTGCTCTGGGGACAAGGATGATTTATTTCATCACCAAAACTGGTCATTTGAAGTAGGGTAAGTTCAGCAGAAAGATGTGGTTGGTTTTGTGCCTGAGCCTGTGATCCCGGAGCAGCACTGATGCTTCTGTGGGTGTGCACGCCCAGAGCAAGTCCTTATCCTTGTGTTTCGGTGGGGAGCAGAGGCCAGCAGGGCAGGTCACACTCCAGTCTCCCTTTCCTCTGCTGGGACTGGACCATCTTCCCCACAGGAAAGCCAGTGTCCAGGAGCAGACATTTCACCCATCCTGAAGCTTGCTCTGCAGGAAACTGGCCTTTGCCAAGAGCACTTTTCCCAGCAGCAGGGAGGGACACACAGGGCTCCTGCAGGAGCATTCCTGGCCTGTGGCATGGGAGGTGATGGGTTACCTCACTGGGAGCTATTGGCAATTGTTTATAACTGACAAATTATTTAATTACCTGGACTGAAATTTTTTCTGTCCTGAATGTGTGCCTCAGGGAAAACATACTTAGAAAACTATTACATGGGTTGGTCAACTGTTCCTTAGATGATGTAAGGGCATAAAAAAAAGAGCACACACACACACACACACACACACACACACACACACACACACACACAGAGAGAGCACACAAAAAGAAAAAAAGGACTTATTTTCCCTTGTTGAAAACGTGGGGTTGTACTACTGACCTGAAAATGCACAGCAACTCTGACACCCACCTAGAGGCACTGTCCTGCTCTTATGGGTGCTGCAGTCAGGGTACCTCCCAAGCACCACAGGTCGCTGAGCTATCACCCTGCTCATTTTTGTGCCTCTGCTGCTGGATGATAAATCAGGATGCAGAACTGGCCCAGCACATCCACAGACTGCAGGACGTGGCTATGAAATTAGTTTAGTTCTGAATGTGTCTTTTTCCCCACGGTCTTGGCTCATTAATTGCCACATGGGGATGTCACCTCCACAGGGTGTTTGGTTAAAACAAGCACTGTATGGCCACAAGGAGCAGGTACCAAGCAGTGTGCTCCTTGCCTCAGTTTCCCTTTACTGAGTTAAGAGTGGATCCACATGAACCCCTTCTCTGGGCACTGGGAGGGTGAGTAAGTCACTGGTGAAATGTCACATCCCTGTGAAGTGGGAGCACCCATGCTTTCCCAGGTCACCATGGGAGGACATGGTCCACTCTCTGTTTTGGGCACCTCTCAGCTGCTGAACTGGAAAACCCCTTCCACCTGGCAGTATTCATTCAGAGGACAAGGGTCAGTGCTCTTTTAATGCTTAGAGGAAATTTGTCACCTCGTGTTTGAGTGAGGGCCACTGCCACTGTAAATGCCTTTCTCAGCAGCAGTGCCTGCAGAGCAGTTTTTGTTCCTCTGCAGCTCAGGTGAGCCTGTTCCTGACCCTTGGGCCCACAGGGAGACACCCTGAGAGCCTGTCTATGCTTGACCAGCAGGTTGCAACTGAGCTTTATCTTTTCTGGCCTTTTTGAAACAGTTTGGGGGCCCGGTCCTCCACTGAGGACAACGGAGCAATATGATTGCCTTCTTTTTTCTCCAAATCTGGCAGAGGATTTTACTCCTCATGCCTGGAAATCATTCAGCATCTTCAATTTATCACAGCAGAAGTCAACTTTCATTTCAATTGCCCATGAAGATGGACACAGGCAGCATTTCCTCCTATGGAAACTTCTGATGGCCACTGGCAGCAGTGACAAATTACAGCTTTGTTGGCTCCGTGGGCAGGGACCACCTGAATCTGTAATTCTATGGGTGTTTTTGCACGGCTGTGTACTCTGTCCAGGCTAAGTAAATAAAGAGTAATGACCATTAAATGATTAATGAGATGCTAGCAAAAATAATGGCAGCATTGTAAAATGTAGTTTATCTTCACTAATGATGTTCTTTGGAGATTTCATACTCCTGTATTCTGTCTTGTAACTTCATTAAAGCACCAACATGCAGCTGACTGCCAGTGAGGAAATATGTAGCTTAGTTATGTGTTTTTCTTCTTAAGAGTTCATTGTATATTGCTGTCCCGGCCATTAACACTTGCTTTTTGGTTTACTTAGAAGCCTTATTTTGTGATCTCTGCATTATCCCAATCTTGACCTAATTCACACTATTTCTGACTGGGAGGGAGTTTTTAAAGGCTGTTTACCTGCTTGGCTTGGAGCTGATGCTGCAGTGACATCATTTGAGATAGAGTCTCTTCTCAGCTAAGAGGGAATTAGGGAATAAGGTGGAGAATTAAGAAAACAGACTGATCTCTAAATATTGCAGCTCAGAGATTTTTCAGACTTTTTTTTTTTTTCTCTGATTTGGTAATGCCCACATATCTACTGATATTTAGCTAGGGGTATTTTTGTGTGTCTCGCTTGCTTTTAAAAATGTTGTTATTGTTATTCTTTTGTTCTTTTTAGACACTTAAAATTAAGCTCTAGCCCTGGGAAATCCACAGTTTACAGGATGAAAACCACTGATAACAATTTTTTCTTGAGAGATCAGTTTGTTTTCAGTTTGCAGAGGTAATATAGAAATTGTTTAGGTGTGTAAATGGAACTGGAAGTTGAGTGACAAAACCCATCTCAGTGCTGTGACTTTGGGCATCTGCATTTGTATTTAAGGCTGAC